GTGGGTGAAGGGAGACATTGGTCAGTGTAAGACATGAAAAAATAATTCATAAATTAGCAAGGGCTCATGAGGGGGGAGGAGTGAGGAGCTGGTATTAAGGGCACAAGTAGAAAGAAAACGTTTTGAAAATGATAATGACAGCATATATACAAATGTGCTCGACGTGATGGGTGTATGGATTGTGATAAGAGCTGTACAAGCCCCAGTAAATAATTAAAAAATAAATCATAAACACTGGGTGAGACCAAGTGGTCAGCGGTTACAGTAAAGCTAAGATGAGACACTAAGGGGGAAGGTTTTCAGTAACTAGATTCGTAAACACAAAACAGCCAGAATGGAACCCTTCAGACAACTGTCCCCTCGTGAAAACGTAACCGTGTCACATCTTGTACTGAGATGACTGAAAGGGAACCTAATTTTCTATGTAAACTCTCTCTGGCAATACCATACATATTACTGTATTTTTTTAAAGAAAGATGCCACTAATAGGCAGGAAGAGAGGAGCTAGATGAGAATTCTCTGTTATTTGTTCTCAACCAAAAATGCTCTAGGAAACAGTAACGTAAAAACCAGTAAGTCAAAGAGCCCACTGGATAGCTGTAATCCCTCTTCCTCATTCCACTGGGGAACCCGAAGAGCAGACAAGTTCAGACATTTGCACCGTGTCTGTCTGTCCAGGTTTTTGGTTTTGTTTCTGTTTGGAGGGGTGTGGGGAATCGTATTTAATGTTTTCCTGGCTTAATATACGTTTCAGCTAAGAGATTCATACAGATTTTCACCTGTTTCCTCTTGTGGTTTTTTGTTTGTTTGTTTTTAACATTTACATTTAATATCCACTTGGGTTCTAAGAATAACCTTATAGCTGACTGATCTATTTTTGTTTTTCTCTAAAATGATTTTTGAACTAAACTCATGTCCCTTCCCCGTATGCCAAGGGTAACACCCAACTCCATTTCCACATAGTTAAGTTCATGTGCAGGGAAGAAAGGCCAAAGGCCCTGCGTGTCTTCCATTCTGTCATCCCTAGCCATTAGGGAAGCAGTGGGTCAGCTTCCTCGCACGGCCTGGGAGTGGGACCTGCCTGCTGAAGCTGGGTTCTCTTTGACCTTCTGCAGGCTTTGTGCCCATCTGCTCCCTGGGGCTCGCCCAGATTGGCCGCATGAACCTGGGGATGGATGCCAGTACC